TCTTTGGTTAATTTTACGACTTCATTCCGTAGCTGAGAATTCTCCAAGCATAGATTACGAATTTCTGTTTGTAAAATATCAATTTTATCCCCGAAAGGCTGCAATTCACTTTTAACAATGCCTGCCACTAATTCTCTAAACTGGTCAGTGGTCATAGTTATTTACACAACTAGTTCTGGAAAGCCTCCCTGCGGTCGTGCCGCAAACAAGCGTTCATGCGGGAAGCAGCTTTCACAAACGTGTTGTGTAGAATATTTTTTGCAACGAATAAATTTTTAAAATTAAAACATGAGTTGTGAGAATTATTTATAGACAATCAAGTCGGCAGCGCTGTAAACACGTCACTACCACGGTGGTCACTACGTTGACACTACCAGCCTACTTTAAAATTTAAATTAATCTAGCAGCATGAATTGAACACCAAAATTTACTGCCAACAAAAAGCAAAGGGCGGTATGAACGCGCGCACCAAAAATTTTTTAGATCAGTGCCATAGAAACAAGGTCGCAAAATGTACTGAAAATGTTTTGTTGGCATACTTCAAGGAAATACCCCACAAAAGATCTTTGTGGTCAGTGTATTATATGCTTAAGTCATGCATAATTTTAAAACAAAACACTGACAGTTCAAAATTGATTCTTTACATAAAAAGACAAACTCAGCAGCATCAACCAAAAAAGTCGGCGGTTTTGGAACATGCGCATATAGTTAAATTTATTGCAGAAGCGCCCGATTCAACATGTTTAATGACGAAAGTAAGATTGACACATACTAATAAACAAATTACTATAACAACAATTACTATTTTATTTCAGGCAGCATTAGTTTTAGGCATTTCTGGCATGTGCAGAAGGGGGGAGGTCTGCAACATGAAACCGTCTGATTTAGAACTTAAAACAGACATTATTGTTGTTACTGTACGGAGACAACAACAAACACTCCTAGAACTTTCGTTGTATCTCACCCACAGTGGATTGATATCATAAAAAAGTACAATAGTCTTAGGAAAACAAATGATTCGCGTTTTTTCCTCACTCATCACAACGGTAAATGCACAAAATTGCCTGTTGGAATCAACACTATCGGTAAAATACCGTCAAGAATAGCTGAATATCTTCACCTGCCACATCCAGAACACTTCACGGGCCACTGCTTCCGTAGAAGTGCTGCAACAGCAATGGCTAATCATGGGCAAGGTTTGATTGCAATCAAACAGCTAGAGGGAGTGGAAATCCTCTGCTGTTGCAGAAACTTAACAAAACAAGACTGCTTACCTTCAACGTCATCTGCTCCTGTAAGATTATGTGTACAAAGTGTAATATACTTATGCTGTTAGATGATGATTGATCTAATGATTCTTCTCTTGATAAATGTTGCTTGACATTTTGCCATGTGATCACTGCAAAATATGCACATACTTTTTGTAAGTAGGTGATTCTACAACAATCTTCTTTTAATTTTAAAGGGTACATTTTTAAAATTGACGTTTTCTGATAACCTGAACCAAAAACAAAAACGAAATATTTAGCAAAACTCAAAAGTGAAACTCTCTCCCACTTGCCTTCAACATTATTGCCAAACTATAGGGCGATCTCGTTGATTTGTAGCACTATTATACAGGGTGCCGCATCCAAGTCTGGATATAGGGAATTAACATGGGAATTGGTTTTTATTTTATAATATCTCCCCAGATCACTTTGAAGCTATTATTGAGTGATGCCTTTGTGGGGGTCGAAGAGGGCTATCGGCCAGTATTTTTTTCAAATCGTTGCATCGCGCTCATACACTGTAAAAAAGTTTTAAAAATGGTATTTTGAAATTCGCGCCCGCTCCGATTTGTCGCGAAATGTTCCGTCGTACTGTCGAAGTTCGGCGATCGCGTCTTTCCAATAACCATGCAAAATCCAAATGTCAAAGCGAAATTAGAAATTATTCTCATCAGAAATCAACGAACAACTCAAACTGAATTATTTTATCCAGTGTGATGATTATTGTAGGACAAATTAAACGGAATAAATGCACAAATTGATCCATTCATTCGTCATAGTGCGCGACCCCGTCAAACGAGCCATTTCGAACTACACTCAGGCCGTATCCAAAAAGCCCGAGATGAAGACTTCGAGCTGCTGGTCTTCCTCAAAACCCCATCAAAGCCCATCGGCAGTATTGTGACATTTTCTGGGAGCCATCAAGCTAGGAATGTACTCGCGCTGCCTCACTCAGTAATCACTGAACGACGATTATTGTAGGTCAATTTAAACGGAATAAATGCACAAACCACACAAAATATTTTATTAGGTTATGTTGCTGGTGCTGGTCGAGTCTTCATTACTAAAATCTCATTAAAATGCCTTGTTCTACTGAGATTAGATGAAAAATCGAGGGCCCGCTTTTCTTATTGTGTGATGATAAGATCAACAGCTGGCGCTTTTGAAGAGGACCTTTTAATGAACCATTTAGATAACTACAAATAACAAAACTTAACAATTGTTGATGAATTAAGTAATGAAATATTGTACGAATCTGGAGAAGTATTGCAGTATTTTCAAGAATTGCTCAAAAACACTGCTCTCAGCAGCTGTACAGTAAGTAAGCCGATCTTCAAAACTCCTACGCGTGTTGATCAGCATTTTAGTTGAAATCTGAAGACAATATTGCTGGATTGCTTGTTTCAGCGCTTCTCTGTTTGTATAGCTTGTCTGAATGCAGATGGTCGTGAAGAAATCTCCAAAGAAAAAATTTCTCAAGGGTTTAGATCTGGCGACTGCACAGGCCAATGGGGCGGTGCAAACTTTCCATTCCAACATTGCGGAAAAATACTGGTTCAAATAAACAACATTTATGCGAGCTGTATGGCTGGAGATTTGGTCCTGGATGTAAAAGACCTGCTGCAGATGCCGCACCCTTCGAGTCCCAGGAAGTATTTGCTGAGCTAGCATATTATCCTACTTCTGAGCATTCAATCCAGATTCGATGAAAAAAGGTGCAATGACATGATGTCCTAGAAACCCCAGTCATACACTGACAATTGCACGCCATTGATAACGAAGGTCATGGACCACGTGAGGGTTGTGTAATGCTCAAATTTGATCTTTCTGACGATTATAACTTCCCTTAAGACCAAATGAACGTCAGTAAAACAAATGTTCCTCAAAAACTCTCCATCAGCCCAGATTCTCTCAAGCGTTCCTTCGTAAAACTCTATATGTGAGAAGTAGTCCTCAGGCTTCAATTTTTTGTCATGATGCTTTTTGAAATTCTTCTATCTCATCTGTTTAAGATCCCTAGAAAACGTCGTGCCGACCTGATTTTATGTAATTTTTATCACCTTTGAAAATAAATGTAACTTTATTTTGCGAAATATTATTTTTATTTTTGTTGTTAACACAATAAACAAATAAAACAGTAATACAAAAGTTTCTGAATCCCAAAACACATTCGTAATAGAGAAAAATACTTTAAAATGTTGATGAGTCAATGTTCTACATTTCTCTCTCAAAAATTTCCTGTAATGAAGATACTTCCTGGAGGCAAAAAATCCATCCCTGCTTAACGAATGTAAAATCAATTGACTTCCAATCTTTAGTGATTCCAAAAAAAAGGGTGAAATTTATCCAAATTACCTACTAATTAAATTAACCGTTGAAGAACATGCCGGCCCCCGCTTTTTCATCTAATCGCAGTAGAACATAGCATAACCTAATAAAATATTTTGTGCAGTTTGTGCATTTATTCCGTTTAAATTGACCTGCAATAAATCATCACACTGGATAAAATAATTCAGTTTGACTTGTTCGTTGATTTCTGATGAGAATAATTTCTAATTTCGTTTTGACATTTGGATTTTGCATGGTTATTGGCATAGGTTATTGGAAAGACGCGATCGCCGAACTTCGACAGTACGACGGAACACTTCGCGACAATTCGGATCGGGCGCGAATTTCAAAATACGATTTTTAAAACCTTTTTACAGTGTATGAGCGCGATGCAACGATTTGAAAAAAATACTGGCCGATAGCCCTCTTCGACCCCCACAAAGGCATTACTCAATAATAGCTTTAAAGTGATCTGGGGAGATATTATAAAATAAAAACCAATTGCCATGTTAATTCCCTATATCCAGACTTGGATGCGGCACCCTGTATATGAAGGATCATATGTTTTCAATGTCTTCGTTATGGGAACAGTTTCTCAAAACGTTTGGCCTTAGTGTATCTGGGCTGTCCCTTTTTTGAAGAGATTGGTTTCAAGCAAGCACAACTGTCGCTTGCCTTTCACTTCACGCCAAAGTTTCTTTATTTATGACAATTACTATAGCAGTTATGTTTGTCATATTCTGATATGTCTGCAATACACTCACATTTTGGGACACTGATTTCTCTATCTTTAACCTTAAAAATATGTATGACTGTACGTTACACGTGGTTACACTTTCGACACTTTCATCACAAGTTGTAGGATCGCCAAAATTTAGTTCCTACAGAAACTAACGCGTTGTGTACAATATTTTTCAACGAATAAATTTTAAAATTAAAAAGATTGAGTGATATATATACAGCGTCAAACAACGTTGGCAGCGCTGCAAACACGTCACAATGTTGTATGTTGACGGTTGACGTTTCCGGGTTGCTTTAAGCACAGTAGATCAGTAACGAAACTTCAGCAATATTTGCGGAACGGGTGTGACCTTGGGAGCCCGTTCCCGGGAAACACGAAGATTCAAATATTTCGTAGCATTCGTATGTGATTCATATAATACTAATAATTGTACACAAAAACAAAAATGGATGGCATGTACTAGTGACATTGGACATTTTTTTCTTTCTTATAAATTATTAATATATTCAAGCAAAACATTTTTATTCAATTTTGACGTTTTAAACTGCGTTTATTAAATCCTTAACAAGTCTGACAAATAAGTTGTTATCCACAAGTGAATTGCAAAATTTTTATTTCGCTCTTAATATTTTTAAATCACTCACAAAAAAATAAAAAACAACTTCAGGAACATAAACATTTTGCTTATTATTTTTAATAGTTTTCACAGAATACAATTTGTTTACAATTTTCACTAAAAGGTTGCTGCAACTAAATCAGTATTGTTTGACATATTTGTTTGGCTCTGTGAGGCGTCAATTTGGGAATTGTATAAATCCCACACCAATAGAATTCCAAAGAACGTTTCGGAAACTATTTACTACAGATTATTTCGATACGAGTGCAAGAACCAACTGTGAAACACTATTTTATTTGAAATGAAAAATTTGCTAAGGTGTTCTTTTAAACAAACTTCCACAACACATCTTCCCTGTATTCCGGCCTCTTCAACAATCATTAAGTGATGTGAGTTACCGGAAACTCACCTTGAAAGAACACAACTGTTTATGGTATGTTTGTGGGTACTCATTAATACGAACATTCTTACACCACCACTTCTGCGAAGTTTGTGTGAACTTTGCACATTCTTACGAAGTGGTACATCCTGTTTTAATTGTGTGACATTTTAAAGTTTTCAATGAAGATGTGATTTTTGGCGATTTAATGATGCCACCTAAACATTTGCAGTTTATACTCCGGTAGTGGGTAATATATTTTGTGAGTTTTACCCAATTTATGCACTGTATTCGTTAACTGGTTTGCGGCTAAAAAACGAACCATACAAAAATACCATTCCACCACCCCTGCAAAGACTTTCCTCTTGATTACCTCGTCTCAGTTTTTATTAGAGTTAGAATTTTTTACACACTAAAATTTAAAAATAAATCTTGGACCGCTCAAACACGCACACAGCGAAAATTAAACTATTTCGTTTAACCTGCAGTTTGTTGACCTCTTTAGCCTGGAATTTTCTAGTATTTTTTACATGTATCGTAAGACTGTGTCGTAAGTATCTATTACTTTGTTAAAATAAATTTTACGTTTGTTTTTAACCCCATAACCCAACATCCCGTATGATTCCGTAAATAATATGACATTTCTTGTTGACAAAACCAGACAAAACGTTCACCGAAAACCTTAAAATGAAAAAGAAACTATGTTCTTCAAGGTCGGAGCACCTTTAGTGACGCCAGTGACCTCTTTATGTCGTTCCGTAAGCTCCCCATGTATTTCTTATGGAGTCAGCTGAGACTTTCATAGCCCTGACAGTATTATCTCATTTACAAACCTACAATTCTGAAACTTTTCCTTATGGCAATCTTAATGTTCCACATGAACAGTTTGTATATTACATTGAACAATTAGAAACTTTTGCACTTTTGTTTCAAGTTGGTACACATTTTAAAAATCATCTGGCCTTATAACGTACAAGCGTCCATACAGTACTGGTAGCTTCCTCCATGATTATGTTTTGCCATTATTTGTCCGATTATGTATATTTCATACACTGAAATTCCACAATAGGGAACTACAGAAGCAACCTAGAAAACAAAGGAAATTAATCATTTTATCCCATTTATACAGCACTTGTTAGTTCAATTGGTACAATAAACAATAATCAAATTATTATAGGTGTAAAAAATCGAATGTTTACCAATCAATGTGCCCTAATTATTATTCGTATACTTATCAACAATATATTCAATATTCAAGTGAAGTTATCTCAGAGTTCGTGTTTTTCGTTCGTGATGTCACTTTATGTTCTATTGCTTATGGTAAATTCAAAAGCTGTCGTAAGTCGTATGTCTATTATTTCTGACATGTGTAAGCGGTTTTCTTTGTCTTGAAGATTTAGGTTAGGTTTGATCAAAAGTGCAAACCACCACACAAAATCGTGGAAAGTGGTAGAACAATTATTTAATGAACTTTATTAAACATAAGAAAAAATTGGCAAATATTTAAAATTGTAATTAATGGTACAGTTATGGCAAATCATGGTAATTCCTGCAATGGAAGTGTTCGACAACTGATTTATATCTAATGTACTCATTGAGGTACTAGGCTACTAGGTAAGTTTGCCACAGGAATATCTATGGTAGTGTTACTACATCTGAAGTTTTAGATATTGGGCATGAAGAAGTTGACGGAATCGAAGCATCATATTCAGTGCACCATTGTTGCAGTTCTGTTTTTATCTATAATTGATTCCTCAATATAATTCTCCGCTACAGTAGAGGATTTCCAGCCCCCAAGGCGCTTCAGTGATAAAATATCTCCGCCACATTCAGCCAACATTGTAGGGGAGGACCGACATAGTGAGTGACCAGTATATAGCTCCGGATCATCTAATTTCAAAAATTTTGCAATTTTATTGTGTTACTAATTGTATTGTGCCCAATATTTTGTTTTACAGGTTTACAACCTCAGAAACCAATGAAAGCTTTTGGCATATCTGGACTGGGTTTGTTAGTGAGATATTTTTTTAACAATTTATGATAAATTTTCTGAAGTGGCATTTTTGGTATGTGATATATTGACTATGATAATGTCATCTTGAAAGTTAATATCTTTCATGTGCATGTTGCACAATTCTTCCGTGCGACAAGCCCCCGCTAATCCAGTTGTAAAAATCGCCTGTATAACAGAGAATTTAAAACATCGGCAACAATTTACAATTGGAAACAGTACCTTTGTTGATAAAAAATCATTTCAGGAGTTTCTAACAAGAATTTTGTAATTTCTGCCCTGGAAAAAAAACACGCGATTTTTTCGGTTTGTATGCTGCGGTTTGACGCTTTATAAAGGACACCAATTTGAAGTAAGTATTTTGTGATGTCGATGTTTTCCTTTAGTGAAATTGCCGAACGTACCATTTAATACACCGACCATAAAGTAGACGGCTCTTTGATTGATCTTCGAAATATACAACAAGTACATTTTCTGAGGTTCCAGCAACCTACTTCTTTGCGCACCAGTCTTTATATTCTGCATAAATCTTGAGATAAACGCTCCTGGATTTTTCCGGCAATAACTTGTCTTGCAGAAACACAATTTACGCAAGTTTTTGTTTAACAGAACTTTTGAAAAATAAAGAAAATTAATATTTTTAAAATGAAAATGTGACAGCGCCATGTTACGACAACCATTTCAGTTCGTAACAAATTTTTACCTAACCAATCCCATCAACTCATTTATCTGACAGAAGGTGTCAAAAATAAAAGCAAGGGAGAAATGTAGAATGCACAATATAAATAAGGTAACAAACGATAGTGAATATCATCCGTCGATTAGAGTAATAATTGTCACGGACGTTTATAAAATATCAGTAAGTACAGAAGTAAATAAGGTACTGTCCTTCGTATCGCGCCTTTGGTTTTTCGAGCAAAAATTAAGTTTTTGAAATTTTTTGCAATACAGAGTCAACAAAATTGATTGAGAGGGTTGGTAAACCTGAACTTGAATAATTTGGTTTATTAAGTTGTATAAAAACATTAGCTGTCAAATTTGAAGTTTCAAGTTTCAAATTTCAAAACTCAGTGGCGTCTTTTTTCGACTTTTTTTTTTGGTAAAAACATTAGTTGTCAGATTTGAAGTTTCTAATTTTTGTCACGTCACTGAATTCGTTGCCATATAACCTTAAACAAATCTGTCATAAGGTTGACAAACTTCACGACAAAAACAGGGGGTACCAACTCTCTCAATCAATTTTGATGACCCTGTACTTCTCCTATGTGAAACGTGTGGATGAACGGCTTTGGTCACTTTCCGAGTGCGTTTTAATATTTATATTTAGAAAAGGGAAATGTTGTGGTGACCGAATTTGAATCACAATTTCGCGCTGAAAAAATTTAACAGCGGTTCGAAATCACATTTGATTAATTGGAATTTGAAAAAAAAATCAATCAAAAAATCGTTAAACATAGGCAACCATGTGCACGGTAACGCTTTTTAGGTAGTTGGTAGCTCGCTAGGGGTTTCTAGTTAGAGGGTTGGTAGAAAAGATGGCCGTTTGGCGGAGAGAAATGACAGGTGTTACTTTTGGTTTGTTTGTTGTGAGTGCAGCATGCGGTAAGGAAACTATGTTAAGTTTAGTTGGCTTGGTAGTTAATAAAAGGAAGAAAGCCTTTGTTTAACGACAATTAAACGTAACGCCGACGACGCCACGGTTTGTCCCCATACACGCAGCTAATTCTTGCGGATTTCTAATTGGAAAAGGCGAATTTTTGAACGACGCCAACACGTATAAATTTAATTCATTGTTTGTAAATTCACAGTTCATGTTAGGATTTTAATCGTTAACTGGTGCTAACACAACTTAACAGACATTTGCTAGGAGTTTTCATAAAATTCACTTAGTCAGGACTCGTTTGATTTTGTTTGTCTAATTATGAATAAGGTTTCTGGATACTAATAGGTAAGTGTTACATTATAACACTTTTTAATTCTTCACACGAGATTGCTAATAGTACATTTACAACAATTAAATTAACCTAACGTTGCGTCACTGTGGAAAAAGACCGTGGAAAGGTGCAGCAAAATTCAGAATATCGTGAACTGCGAAAAGGGAGGGATTAAAGATCTCTCTCCTTATGCAGTTATCGTCATTATTATCATCGTATCATCATCACATTACCTAGATATTTCTCTCGCAACGTGCACAGCTATATCACCGAGATAACTTTCTTGCAACGTTAAAAACTACATCACCGAGGAGCTTTCCTCGCAACGCCTGATGCATTTTGTGTTTATTTATTATGTGTTTTGTTGGGGATAAGCAGTTTACGATATAAACCTTCAACACAAATTGTTTTAAGTAACCAATCACTTAATTGAACATAATATAAATTCTTTGTTTGAATCGTTGATAAAGTGTGGCAAATATTAATCTCATGTAAAATTGTTAGCTTTGCAATTTTCACCTCATACAATATTTCTCTACCTCATAATTTTAACTTCAGTAATTTTCTTTGTTGTATAATTTAAATTGAACGTAAACTTTCATGCTCTGCAGTTTCTAATCCTCACGTAATATTTTATCTTCACAAGTTACTTCACACTAGATCTTTTTTGTTTTTTTTTTTTTTTTAATCTTTGCTAGTTTTTGTTTTGTAAATATTTTGTTGAAGAATGTTTCCGTCGTATAAATTATCTGATATCTAATCTTAATCTCAAATAAGAATTATTTGTTGTTTAAAATTTCACAAGATTGTATGGCGAATTTAAATGTTGTTTATTGTTCTTTTTGAAACTTTGGCACTTGTTCAGTTGTAGTTTAATATCAGAGTTATAAGAATTGAACATATAAATGGAATTGAGGTTAAATAACACAGAAAAACGTGGCAGAAACGGAGTGCGCGGTTTCTAGTCGAGCTGGTGGGATTTATTTGCACAAGAGATGCTGGTTAGAATAGAATTCAGGGGCGGTCGAGATGACGTAACGCTGTCGGCTTCTACCCCATAGTCGGGACCCAACTGCGAGTTTGCGACCCTAAGGGCCTGCTCGTCTAGGCATGTTCTTCGTGCTGGGCGGCAGTGCTTGCGATAAATAGAATCACCGTCGTGGGTAGGAGAACAGTCACGACCGGGAGCCTCAAGCTCGTGCTACAACGCCCCCTATGGGTATTTTTGTTGTGGTCTAGAATGAAATCGACATAGTTCGATCGCCACACTTTTTTTTACTAAAATGATGTTCTTTTGTTGACTGCCATAATTTTAAATTTGCCGCCATACGCCTGTAATAACTTGTGTATTTGCTTTGTTTTTATTAAATTTGTGATTTTCAAATATTTGCATTGATTCAGAACGTTTAATTTGATTTCAGTTAAATTTCATCCAAAGTTCAATAAGTTTGTTTTTTGGATCTGAGACGCGATTGCGATTCGGCCCCTATTGGGCAGCCTGAGGACAAGTCACGAGTGACCCTCGCACGCAGCTTTTTTTTCTTTTTTTTTGTCAGTGGAGGAATAAATAATTTTGTGTCCTCCATAAATGTTGTGTTTCATTTAGCGGTACTTTTCCAACCTTGGGGTCCAACACTTGCATCTGAATGCATTCCGCCATTTTTCAAAAAATCAACGTAGGGTTTTATTTTGTCAGACGACCACACCCAAGGTCAAATTTTGCATTTTTGAATTTTTCGCGGGCTTTCAATTTTTTCTCACATATCAATTTCAGGCGGGATGGTTGGATTATCACAATATTAACTACGGGTTTGAAGTCACCTCTAGACCGAGCGCAAATTAAAACCCGAGACACCGCGTGTTCGCTTCAAAACCTCGGCTAATATACTATTTGTACATCCTAAATAAGATTTCAGCGCTAAAATGTCTAGATGGCATAGTAAAATTTCTGAAGACAATTTTGGTTATCGCTTTATCATCTACGTAGGTTTACTAACTTATTAAATTATTTTGGTTCTCCCAATCAGTAATAAACAGGAGAGTTTAATTTTCATTTTCTTTGTAAAATAATCTTGCTACATAAAGCTTAGGCAAAAAATCTCAACATTTTAAATCTGAAAAGCGTTTTGAACATTTATTACTTGTTTGCTTTAACAACATCAACTAATACAATGTTTGCGAAAGTATGTTTTATTAAACGAGGTATTATTCTATTCTTTTCAACATTCCGTTTTTAAATTAAAATTTGCTGAACATGCTATCTGAGATGGAATACTGTTTGTATTTCAGTAAATAAATGCTATTGTAGTTTGAAACAAAAGTTGGGCTTTTAAAGTAAATATGTTAAGGATGATGTATTACATATAAAGTGAACTTACTCTAAGTGTGCAAATGATGGATATTTTACTTGTCTAATGAAAAAAATAATGGTCCAAATGTTTACGATAACCGGTTTTAGTTCATTATCACTACAACATGCATTTTTTTTCAGGATTATTCAAGAATTGCATTGGGTTTCAAGAACTATATGTTAAGTAATTATTAATTAGTTGCTTAGGAAGTGGAAAAATTAAGAAAAATGTGCACTGTGATGGCAGTATTACCCTAAAAAATAATTCTGTAACATTGTGCACCGTTGGTTCGCGAAGGCACAAAAGGGTTTCGAAATTTAAAATGTGAATAAAAACGTGTTATCTAGATTTCGTCTGAATGAGTACAGAATCATCATAGCTTGAATTCGAATGTGGCTTTGAACTACTCGTTGAATTAAAAATCGCAGAGAGAAAATAATTCCAAATAAAACAGCCAAAATACTGTTAAGCCAACTACTATTACATGTTATACTTAGTTTTCATTAATTAATAATAATTATATCCACATCCACACGCAGAGCAATTCATTGAATGGATTGGGCCAACAATCTATTCCAAAACTACAACCATAATAATTTAGTCGAGCGCAACTTTCTCTTTGAATCCGCTCCAATTTTTATAGTGATTATAGTTAAATTTCATTGCATATTTTCACAATATTGTTATTAATAACCGGTTCCGTAGTGTAGCGGTTATCACGTCTGCTTTACACGCAGAAGGTCCCCGGTTCGATCCCGGGCGGAACCACCAATCCTTTTGTTATCCCCAAATATTGTAATTTTTTGACCTTCATACATCACTGGAATTCCTAACCCGAGCGATATCAAGTCGTATCTTTTTTCCTGCCATTTTTATTGTTATTGTTTGTAAAATTTATGCACAAAGCATTCATGTTTTCTGTTACGCACGAACCGAACAATTGAACAATTTCGCAACACTTGAAAAACTCGATTTCAATTTTTCAGTTAACGTACGTATCGAAATGCTAATTCCTGAAGGAACTATTTGAAAAATTACTACCCAGTCTCAAGAGAAATTCCTTTGTAGTAAATTATTCGGCTGCTGTTTCTGAGTTCTACGCTCCCGATAAAATTTTAAATCCACTTCGATAATTGTCTGTTCATAACTGGGGTGTAAGTAGAAAGGACAACTGGATAAACGCTTTTATAATGAAGTGGTGACAACAAATTGATAAATAAGCAGAAAATGAATTGGTGTTTTTTCGAGTTTTCTTCTCTTCTCCGGGATTTTGTATTTACGAGATGTGAGCGGTAAACTATGGTGACAAACAAATGAACCTGAAAAGATATTGGAAGCATTAAATCAAAGGAAATCCAGAAAACGCCACTCATCTTCGCAGAACAACCACATTTACAATTCAAATTGACAAAGTTGCACCCTCTATTGTATTTCAACATTCAGAGGAATTTGCTATTCGCATATCTATTTCTAACTTTTGTTTATTAAATTTGTCTGAATCCGTAATTTGTTTTGACGCGGAGTCAACAGAACGATGGGTGAAGGACAGGAAGTTTAATTTGCAAGTTTGTTGAAAGCTTTTCTTTCTAGTCATACTGGAAATGGATGAGATGATGACCTTGTCCTGTTCAGTAGTGCGCATTAGGTATTTAAACTGACATAATGTAAAAACTGACATGTAGTCTATTCAAAATGTGTAAAAAATATTCATAACTCCAAAAGTTTTGTTGAATGAAACACATTTCAGCGAGGGATTTATAAGTTTTGAACAATAGTTTTCTGAAATGAATAATTTAAATTAATGTTATGTAATCCCTAAGCTTTGGTTCTCATTTATTTATTTACTACAACCTTTGTTAGGACAAGAATTAATGGGGAAATAATAAAATGTAAAAACAAAGTACCTAATCAATACTTTAAAACAAAAGGTTTCTTTGACAAGATAAACGGCATATTTTATCGATTATTATATTTAATTCTTCGGACCGGATATTAAAAACATTATTAAACCTTAAAGAATATCAATTTTAATTAAATAAGTCAAACGATTTTATGCGTCTACCCTTTATTGTGCTAGTCTTCTCATCCGAACACTTGGTTCTTTAACTAGATAGTAACACTATGCAGTCGTTTCCACGTACAATTTTAAAGTGATCAAAATCTCTAAACAAGGATCTCATCTCCCATTTCTCACCAACGGTTGCAGCAACTTGTCAATTACCACTACGTTTATAGAAAATCTGCAACAATATTCGAAGGGGTTATTATCCGTATTAGTGCTTGGATGAGAAGACTAAAGATGTTAGAAAACCGTTTTTTAACCAATGGTTTTTTTTTAAACTGTTTTTTGGCGTTTTTGTTTATTTATAAACATTGGACAGTTTTATATAAGCAGTTAAAACACAGTTTTTCCCTTAAATTACTAGGCGTTTGTTATTTAAGAGTCAAGGTTACCTTGAAAATTTCAAAAATTTTAAAAATTGCAGTAGCGTTGTCTTTGGGTTTAAATTTGAACTACTCGCACGACAACTAACACTTCAACAACATAACTTCAAAATTTTTAATACAGATTAGAACCAATAATTTTGTTGATATGTTTTATGGTACGTTTTATTTTTATATTTTATGCTGCAAATGTCAGTAAGGTATTGTTAATATTATTCGTTAAGGAAATTTATAAAAATAAATTTATTTTATTAATTTGTATACTGTTCAAGATTTTCAAAATTTCTGCTCATTTTAACAAAAACTCATCAGTCGTATCAAACATGTGAAAAAAGCATCTAAAAAAATAATTAAAGCAAAAAACACATCCCATGTTTTAAAACAATTAAACAAACTGTTTTTATTCACTAATATCTCTAGAGAAGACTAGCACGTCATAAAATCCTTTGATCTGATTAATTGTGCCTTGTCTTCTCATTCAAACACTCATTGCTTTATCTAAGTAGGTAGACATTTAAAGAAATATTGCTGCAGGTGTTCAAATAAGATATGCATTTACAATCTAGATACAACTGGTTACTAAGCCATACTTTTTTTTTGCTAGTGGTAGATATCTGTTCACACTGTTAATATAACGAGCCTCTACTTTGTTTTTATTCTGCAAGCTGCACAGTGGTATCTAAAACTCGAGTTTTTTAGAATGGAGTTAGGTAAAACGACAGTGTAGATGCACTTTTGCTTATAATTTCCAATAATGAAAATTATTTGTGCGTCCTTAAAATAATAACGACTTTAGTGAATGTTTAGAAATCTATGAGGTCGCAGATTAACCCAACGATATGCAAAAACTTTTAGCTATTTTCGATGTAGAAAACGTAAAAACTTGCCTGTATTTTGGCCTAACTGGTCATAACAGGGATGAATTATACATTTTCATTTGCCAAAATTAACGAAAGCAGCAAGAAACAACGTTATCATCATATGTTGAGATTTAATTATGGCGCCAAGGATCAGACATTTGTAAAACAAATTTTGATCGAATACATCAAGGAGCATGGGGTGGAGGTCGTGTACGTGTAAGGAATAAAGAAAATTATTTCATGGAAACACTAGAAGAAAACGGTCCCAAAATTATGAATCTGGAAGCCATAGAAGACTGTGTGAAATTAAGCAAAGAAATCCCAGCATGTGATATCATACATCTAATAATAAAAAATGTTTCTGTTTATTAAATAATGCTAAAAATATTTACAATTGGCTGCATTCTATATTTCCTCAATAAATAATACTCCTATAACATTAAAATGTGTTTTATTTAAACGTAAAAAAACTGTCAGGTGTGGGATTCGAACCTACGCTCTCTTTTGAGAATGAAAGTTTAAATGTAATGCCTTATTTATATTATTTATAAATCTGTACTTTCGTACTAAGGTATATGAGGGGATAGTCAGGATAGGACTCGAGTCTGCGCAAACCAGAACCGTCCCCGGGGTCAGGTCGACCGAGCACAAGGCGGTGACAAACGTTCGATAAAAAGTAGTGGGGCTACTAGACCAGTTTGACCTCATTTGACCTGGCTTAGGAGCCCCACTATATAACTACTCTCCAATCTCCAAGTTAGGCAAGATAATGTTCTGTGTTAAGGATTCATTCCGTTTTACTTGAGCATTTGGTATAATACTTTTGAGCGGTATTTTACAACTTCTAACCCAGGCAACACAATGTTCTGGTGTTTGCTGGCAATTTATTTCGTTTTGCTCGAGTATACTTGTACACCTTTAAAAGTTAGGCAACATAATATTCTTTGTTAAAAATTTATTGTCAGTGATTAATAGGGCTGGTCCAAATCGCTTCTGCAATTTCCTTTGCAATGTCAGATATTCTAGTAAAATAATGAACAACAAATGTAACTATTTATTAACAAAATAAAATGATGGGTTAAGGCGAACTCTGTTGACAAAAATGAGATGAGATCGTTGTTTTGAGAATATGATCAATTTAACAATTGCGCGTGGAAACGAGTACGTAGCTTTACTACCTGATTAGATGAAAAAAGAGTATTCAGAAGAGAAGACGAGGCACAATTTTTGTGTGAAGCAGTTCTTTTATGATAAAGTTCTACAATGTCTTCTCTTGATTCATACGTTGTAAGCGTAATTTTATTATGAAAGTAAGCGAAGAAAAATGTTTGCTGCCCCGGTGGGAATCGAACCACACATCTCCCACTTGCCGGGCCGGTGCCTTGACCACTAGGCTACAGAGCGGCTTATCTTTACTTTGCTTACCTAGCTATTATTGTGCCGCCACAGTACTCCCCCCAGCGACACAGCGCGCGGTCGTGCTGGGGTGCGAAGGAGATAGATAGATGCAAGGTGTTCGAACCCTGGTGCTGCGTAAACATGTGTAAATCATGTAAGGCTTTATTGTCATTGGAATAGCTTTTTAAGCCGAAAAATCTGCAATTCTTTCACTGGTATAAAGCAGATCAGCTGACAGAGGCTCAAGGAGACATCAGTTGGCGCTGGAATAATTACTTGCAGCGGTTCAGATCGGGATCAAATAAACTTTGAAAATTTGATGTACTTTTTGTTGACATTCTGTGACATTTACAAGTTTTTTGATTTGTGTAAAATGAAGAGTACACTTTTTTTAGTAATTTAATTTCTTCAAATGTTCTATCATGTGCTAATTTAGTGAGTATTCTATGTAAAAAAATAAATCCATAATAGTAAGATGCTCTTTTAGTGTGACCGCGTTCATAATAATTGGCCAATGGTTTAAAACAGAAGCAAGAACTTTTCTACAAGGTCCTACGTTTTGTCGTAATTTAAAGAAAAAATCTGAAGTTACTCCTATCAAAATCCAGGATAGTATAAGCAACGTAGGGAAAGCATTCCAAACATCAAATAAGGAAAACCCAGGAGGAAAATTATTCCGTGGAGACGACTCACTATTCGTTAACAAATTTTTCGGAAGTGGATATAACCATAAACGCCAGAAAAGAAGTTTTAAAGAAGCTGAAGAAAATTCCTTGTTGGACGAAGACCCAGAAAACAACGAAGAAACTCCAGAAGACGTAGTACGCCAAGATGAAGACTTTCAAAGGCAGCAAATGATGGCTTCAAATTTGACGAATAGTTCCAAAGTCCTTTACGAAGAACTTGAAAATCCCGAAACAAAAAATTCAGAGAGCGGAGCCGTCTGCGTTAACGAAGATGAGAAAAATTATGTAAGCAAAGCGGGTACAAGTGGAGTGAAACAAGTAAGTTTTAATGGTAAGAAAAAAACATCCTTTGGCAAATTAACTGGCAGCCGTTGTAGGTAGAGCAGCAAGTAATAATTTCTTGGAGATGCACTTCTATAAACCACAACCGGAGAGAGAAAATTTGAAGATAATTCCAGGAGATAAAAAGTCACTTGTTATCAATTTGTATGAGCAAGGCTCGAAAAGTAAGAAGGAAATTCAAACTTCGGAGAAATATGACTACATCGAGCTTCTGTCCAAGGAGAGTAAGTTGGTACAAGTTCCCGCTGTGAGATTTACTGTGGTTCCAGGCGAAAGTACAAACAGGCGAAGGAGGAAAGATAGATTTGTTCCTTTTTATACTTCTCGATACGGACCGTATCCATAGCGCCCGTGAATTTATACATATACTGTTTAATTTTTACTTCAACCATTAATGTGTAATTAATGTCTGATTATTATATTTTATTATTTTATAATTTTCTCTGTTAAAACATTTTTTAAAACTGTATATATAGGGAATGCTTCAGAGGCAAGGAAATTTCTGTCTATTCTGAATAACTTCAGACCAATTTTTTAGGACTTGTTTCATTTTTGCACAAAATGTAGAGTTTATTAAAGTTTAATAGCAACTCTATGTAACGTTGCAAGCAATAAGTTTTCTCGACTATGATGTATTGATGTCGTCTAGCTTTTGAAATGTATTGTTAAACGAATCTTTATTGAAAAATATGTATAACCTGACGTATTCCTGCATACAAAAGTCTAGACGAAGTTCGGTGTAAACAACTTTGCAGATAATAATCTGAACTACTAATACAGTAAATAATTTACAAATAAATGTTAAATTCAGACACTATATTTCCAGCAGTCGTTCTAGAACTATATCTAAAAAAAAAACGTTCCCCAGATCCTTTTTAGTTTCGTCCCATCTGCTTTTCTCCAAAACAAACGACCGAATAAATAATGCGAAGAGAAAGTGCGAAACAAAGCGAAGTCTTAATATCGCCGTGATATTAGGTATTGTTGGCGGCACATATGTCGCAAATGTTGTCACGTTTCAACACGCCCCTCAGCCGCAGCCCTAACACCCCCCGTGTCGTCCTTCAGTCGCCGCCGCCAATATCACGCGGCTTTGTCAGAAAATGCACTTTTCCGATAACTTCTTTTAATATCCCCCCCTTTAGTGTGTCTTTATAGGTTCCCAACGCAATTCTCATACGAAATATGTGCTATTTCGCGTCTTACAAGCACCCTCATTACTTCGAGGGAGACTACTCTTTATTGTACATAAAAAGGGGCATTAACCACTTTTCGGGAATTCAATTAGAAGAGTCAATTTATTTTGCTATAAAAAATCAGATACAACTAGTTGAGTAAAGAACTGTGGCAAAAATTTTTAATTAAAAGTCTCTGTGTAAGTTTGTGTTCGACGATTGTGCGCTTTGAGTGAATGTGAAGGGGTTGGTTAAAAATTTCTGAAAGCAACCCTTGCAATACCACTGCCAGTGAAGTGACATATTGGAGGTCGGTGTTGAATATACTGCAGTAATTCACCTTCCGGTTTCTCACACGCGTTTTCACATAGACGCAGTGAGGGTTATTTTATTTATAACTAGCTTTTCTAACGTTAAATTTAAGATTGAAAGAAAAATATCGGGACAAAAATGGAGTAAGCATTGTTTTGGTAAATAAAACTACTATTGACATTGCTGCAGAAATCAGGCAGTATTGATTTATTCATTTATTAGGGGCGAAAACTAAGAGTGTGAACTGACAATACGTGTCAATTCAATCTTATTATTTAATATTGACCAGAAATTCGTTTATAAACCTGTCAACTTGACGTAAATATGTGGTTGTGTGCCTCTCTGAGAAATTAGAACTTTGCATATAGGCAGTCGTGTTAAATTTAGATTTAGTAAAATTTGGTGACGTTTACCCAATACTCAATTAAAAGCGGAACAAACTTTACGTTACACTTTTCAGCTGATAAATTTTTTCTAATTCATTAAATTTTTAGTAATTTTGTCAAAATATGCTCATATATACAGGGTGTCGCATCCAGGTTTGAACACATGGAGAATTGATTAGTCAAAGTGAATTTAGAAATTATTCTCACTCAGAAATCACTGAATAACTCAAATTGTTAAGTTCAGTCTTGTGTAGTTTTCGCCAATTCGAGGAATGGCAGATTCCACGAGACAGGGAAATTTTCCAGATTGTTACAAATTACTGGAGCACGAGTAATCACAAAATGCCATGCGGTCTTGATGGATTTCTAATTTGTTTCGCGGTAAATATAAATTCAAAACTTTTGCCAACTTTTCCATAGCCCTCCTGATCCCAAACACGTATAAACACACTGCGTAAATAAAAATATTATCTCAACTGCGTAACAACACAGGTGCGCCTTTTCCCTCAACTTTGAAGTTAATCTGGTAGTAAACAAACATATTTCATCTTTCAAAATTTAGGTTTACATAATTTTAAAATCCGTACAAGCGCTTGAGTCTTATTAAATTATGTTTCTCCCTTGACCCTCTTTGCTGAAATGAAGCGCTACATCACATTACAACGAATTTTTCCGCATAACTCGCGAACTTTAATTATAAAACACCTGCCCTCCGCACAAAGAAGTGCGGTTATTTATACCCAACTGCATAAAAATCCAATCAAAGTTTTAATTGTCTGAAATTAATTTCATGGAATAAACGAACTTTGTAAATAATTGCAATACTTGGCATGTCCAACATTTCCTGAAATGCCTGCAGAGTGTACACTGAACTGAACCGCATTAAATTACAGGGCTCTAACTATCAGTTAGTGTTTAATCGACCACTTAATCCAGCCGGTAATTACACGGTTTTTCACTATTCATTACAGGCGCGGTTTGGGTCTTTCAGAATCAGCGGATGCCGCACGACGAAAAATTTTTGCTGTAATTTAGGCAGGTAAGTTCGCTGGAATTGTAGACGTTTTAGTAGGGTCAGGAACTCCTATAATATCTATGTTAATTTACAAGAGAGTCTGGAATAATAGCCCAGAGTGTGTACTTTTCAGGAATTAGATAGTTTAGCTATTGTTGTTTCGTGGAAGGACCTTACATAAATATTGTAAGATAGGCTGATGATGCTAATAAATGGATTATCTCGGGTGTGGATTAAGTATCTTTGGGAGTTATGATTAATGTTTATTGAACGGAGAACCTTCATCACTGTAACTTTCACAAAAGATATTTTATGATTAAAATTATAAAACACACAAAAATACCTATTTACCGTACTCATATTACTTGGCACGTACCCAGTTGTTAACCAGTGAATCACATTGTTACAAGACGATCAGATTAAACATTTAATCCAGCAGTCTCCGGTGTATAATCTGCTATACTATACGTCTATCAAGCGCTTCATTTGGTGAAGAGCTGAGGGTAGTAACACTAACCATAACCGCAGTATGGACCTCCGGGTGTTCCTATTACGTTCGACACAAAGGCAATTGACACTTAATCAATTCGCAATAAATTGCTAAACGCTCAATAGAGCTAGAAAACTTACGCCAACAAACTCATAATTGCCCCATGGAAAATTTATTGCCTGATTTGTCACCTACTGTGGACAGGTATTTTAGCACCGTTCATTCACTGTCAGAGGCGGAATGGTTTTTATTTACGCAGGGATGCACTGTTTTCTAAAATATCCTGTGCAAACTGTACTACGTTATCAAAAATACAACAACGATATTGTTGTTAAACATGCATTCAAAATCGTATTTTGCATAGGAGACGAAATCTGCCGGCTTTGTAATTCCTAAATCACTGACAGTGTTTTCAGAGTATTTTTAAAACCTGCCTTGCGTAATTTTGTAAGAAATTTTGTTATGAAAATTCCGTCGTGGTTTAACAAATGGGAAAGATTACCCAGTGCCTACCCAATTAATTTTAGATGAAAAGTATTCAATAAACGTTTCAAAATCGAAACAACATCATTCATTTCAAGAGAAAGGCGACGAAGGATTCTTGACTACCTCATGAAATTATATTTAAATGAATAATAAGTATAAATTCCAATGTAATATATTAAACCGAACACTGATTTTCACTAATATAAACGAAAATTCATATATGTATTTTGGTATATAGGATCTAAATTCGTAAGTAAGGGAATATTTTTGTTTGTCATATTGATGATTGTACTTAAAATATTTCTTAACGTTCTAACAAAAACGAAATATTATTCATACGAAAAAGAAAAAGTGCTAATTTTTCGTTTTTGTATTCTTATAGAATAACCTTTACATTTCTTATATTTGTGGGGACCTCTATTTTTTATAACATTCATGTACAGTTTGTTTTTCTCAACTTACGTTACTTTCATTGCCCATACTCCGCCACTGCCTTTAATGCGAACGCGCTTTGCTACGAAAACAAACACACTCTGTTAATTTATTTATAATTGGTCTGCCGCGGAGTGCAACGAAATCCAGTGAACGGTGAAACAATTGTGCCAAAAGTCTGACCGCATTGATAAAGCGCTAAGGTGTGCACATCCCGACCGCTCCCCTGACTTTTCTATTCAAGATCTGCGTCTTTTGTGCACATGGCGCGACCGCCAGCTCGACAAGGAACCGCGCACTCCGCTTCCGCCACGTGTTTCTGTGTTATTTATCTCAATTTCATTTAAATGTTGAACTTCTATAACTCTGACATTAAACTACAACCGAACAATTTGCAAAGTGTTTAATCACACATAAGTCGCCACACTAACATATCACTTACAACCGAACAAGTTTCAAAAAGGGCAATAAACAACGTTTAAATTCGTCACACATTGTCGTGAATTTTGAAACAGTAAAGAATTCTTATGTGAGATTAAGATTAGACATCGGACAATTTATGATGGAATCATTAATCAACAAAATATTTACATGAAAAAAAAACCTAGCAAAGATTTATAAAAGCAAGAAAGATCTGGTGTGAAGTTAAACTTGTCCAGACAAAAAATTGAGGTTAGGAACTGCAAAGCATGAAAATTTACGTTGAATTTAAATCATACTACAAAGAAAATTACTGAGGCTAAAGTTGTGAGATCGAAAAAATCGCATTAGGTGAAAAATTGCAAAGCTAACAAAATTACATGAGTTTAATATTTGCCACACTTTATCAGCGATTCAAATAAAGAATTTACATGATGTTAAATTATGCCACACTTTATCAACGATTCAAGCAAAGAATTTATATGACGTTAATTTATGCCATGATCCAAGGGACTGGTTACTTAAAACAATTAGCGTTGAGAGTTTATATCGTGGACTATCCCCAGCTTATCCCGAACAAACACATGATAAATAAACACAAAATACATCCCTCGTCGCGACAGTTACGTCTCGATAATGCTATCTTCTACATCGCGAGAAATACGTCTCGTTGATGTCCGGATGATAGCTGTCTAAGGGGAGAAAAAAATTAATACCTCGT